CATCCAAACCATGGCACAATGTAAAGCTACAGCCTAGAATCACATTTACTATCATACACTAAATTATTCAGCTCAACAGCGTTAAATGGAAACAATGACACATCCACATACAGGAAAATTATACCAATACTAAAGGAACAGAGAGAAATCCCTGGATTGCTTTTCCCTTTTCCCTTACTCCCCACCCCCTCCAAAGAAACCCTCATAAAAGTCATCTTGGTTTTATGGGGACTTCACATCTCCAGTGTACTTCTTTAAAGCCAGAGAAGGACAGTGCTAGCAATTAGGAGTGGGAAATCAATAAGAGCCTAATAAAGAGCAGTTTTAGCAGCAGAACATAACAACTTCACCTATTTTTCAAGTAGTACTGCTGGAAGGAAAAGCTCCTGTGGGCTTGGAGAGCTCTGACAACTTCTTTAGCTGCCAGGAAGCTCAGGGGCCCAGCAGGATCCGTGATGGATCCACAGAACAGGTCATAACCACATCCAGTTTGTTCAGCAGCTACACCTGTTCTGTTTCTTGTATCTACAAGATACATGCATACACATCTATATATACACAAACAAGTAATAATTCCTATGTTTTTCCCCCAAAGCCTAGCACAGCACATGAAATCCATATGTGGATCTATCAGAAACAAGGATGATGGAATAAAGCTTTTGGCAGCCTAGCTCCGAGTACAGGCTGGGAGTGTGAGCAGGGTGGTAGCTGGGCAGGAAGATTAGCACTGATGACAGGTTCTCTGTGCCTGCTTGCAGAGGGAGCAGGTGGAGAGCTCTGAAAAGCCCTGTACTTTCACAACCCTGCAGGTGTGGGACTCTGGTGATTCAGATGCAGTTGCACTGTGTGGTACACTGTGTTTAAGAAGGGTGTGTAAAATTTGGAACATATTTTTCAGCATCAGTTAAGAAATTTCATATCATCAGGACATTGTTTATTGGAAACTGTGTTGAGGACTGTAAGACTGACCTGTGCAGATCAGGGGGAGGACTGAAGTCACCCCAGGTATGAATGTAGCTTCCAACACCATCCAGACAGGTCACATGCAGAGGGAACACATCCCACTGGAATACAAACTCACAATCTGCTCTGAGAGATCTGTCCCAGAACAGCAGAAGTCTCTTCTAACTCCTCAAATATCAGTGGTCCTCCCTTAGGCTCATGCAAAAGAAGAAGAAATGTTTAGGAAACATCATGCAAAGATCACAGATAGAATGGAGATGCACATTCCAGAACACTCTGGGTGTAGCCCAGAGGGACAATTAAGAGTTTGAGCTTCCATTTGTGCTCACAGATAAAATTTGATTCCAATACTTTAGAGAGCAAGCAAATCACACATTTATTCTTAAAAACTAAACTGATGACAATACCAGTGAGGCCCTTTCAGTTGTCAAAGAAATAGCACTGTATATTCGTAACTTGGAATTTTTTCCACCTCCTGAAACATTCATTTTTACACTATATTGCCACTTAGAAAAATTCTAAGAGATTTCCTATCAGTAATAGGAGTTTCTATAAGAAAGCTGAATATCCAAATTAAGAAACACATAGAAACCTACTTTTACATGTTCATAAGCTAGAAATTACCTCACTTGACTGAAATAGTATTTAAATTGTACTTTCTCCAAGGAGATCACAAGGGGTAGAGAATAATAACCATTGTTGTACAGTCACAGGACACCAAAGTGATTTAGAGTGGCTATTATTTTACTACTTGTTAATGATTCCTTAGGAGTCCAGAACAAGTGGCAGAAAGAGAAAGGAGACTCATTTTACCATGTAGGACTTTTCATCACGATCAGATGCTTCAGTGAATCCAACACCATGTCAGAGCCAAGGTGACCTTTATGAGCAGATCACTGTTAAATAACATCAAGACAAACTTCTTCAACATTCTGGGGACAGGAGGGGACAGCTTCACTGGCAGAGGTAAGAGCAGTAAGTCCCTACAGTACAAAGGAAGCCTGCTACCAACACTTGTGCACCCACAGCAAGAGGCCAAGAAATCCTCACATGGCTGGGGTCGCCTCCAGATGATGGTGGTGGATTTTAAGTCCCAAACTGCTTGAAAATAATGCAGTGCAGGCCCAGGTTTCAAGGCTTCCCCTCTCACTGCTTAGTCCCTGCTCCATGCTGGTTGTTATTTTGCCAATAAGCACTGGAGTCCCCACCAGTAACAGAAATGTTGTCTCTCACAGTCTCAGGATGCTTTTTGCCACTGGCATATTGTGTTTGAATGGGAGTCCAAAAGCAGGACAGTATCCAGGCACTCATGAAGCTCAAGTGTCCTTGCAGTAGCTCAGAGTTTTTCCCGAGACTGAACTTGGAAAAAAAGCAAATATCAAAGAATAAACTTCTCCACAAATTTCTGCATTATACAACTGTCCTGATTTCCTGCTTTGCAGAGGAAAACACAAGGATATCAGGACACAGATCATTTGAGGACATCCTTTTGTACACTGCGAGCACAAACAGAGCACTGGCAGAGCACAGGGAGCAGGTGGGGCAGGGAGCCCTGCTCCTGCTTGAGAGGGACACTGGGTCCCACCCTGGGCTTTTTGTCACCGAGGTGATTCTGATAACCTGGAGAGAGTCAGAGTGAAGTGCCTGCACCACATGGCATAGGAGGAGAGGCTGAGAGTCTCACTGCGTTTAGCCTCAAGAAGAAAAGGTTTGGGAAAGGAATCCAGCTGAAGTTATCAAACATTTAAAGGGTAATTACAGGTAAGATAAAGACACTTCTCAGGGGTAACCGTGCAAGGGAAAGAAGCAGTGATCACAGACTGGGGCAGGAGAAATCATGAGGGGATATATAAAAAAAAAATTCAGTCTAAGTGCTCAAGTCCTGGATTAGGTTGTCTAGAAAGACAGAAATCTCTGTTCCTGGAGGTTTTCAAAATCTGATCAGACAAGGCCCCAGGCAATTGATCAAGCTTTGAAGGTAGCCTTGCTTGCCCTTCATGTTCTCTGGAGGCCCACTTCAAACTGAATTATGTTATCTGGAGATCCCTGATACATTTCCTTTTCTTTAAGTCTACCCTGCTGTACAAGGCTGTTTGACAAGCTCATCTCTGCACTCAGGTCTACTACCACAGGCTCCCAAGTCAGAGATTTGACAAACATTCTTACAATTATGGGGCTGAAAAAGTCAATAGTGTCATATACTCATTTTTCACTAATCACTCACTGCCAAATCCTTGAGGCTGTTATCAGGCAAAGTGCCATCACACCCTGGAGAAAGCAGAGTGCACCTCAGGGCCACGCTTCATTGTGACTAATCTGAGCAGAAACTGCATGTGAGCTGACTGAAACCACAGCAGGGCTGTGGGGGCAAAGTCTGGGAGCTCCTAATCACCATTTGTTCAGTTCATGCACAGATCTCTCCAGAGCTGCATGAGAGGTGCCCAAATAACTTCTGGGAAAAGCTGGCAGTGGACTTCACCAAGTGACTGTAACTGATTTATTGCACTGAACTGCTGATGGGTGACTTGCAGACTGAGGCTACGAGTCCCAGTGATCCAGAAGCCTTACCCCATTACAGTAAATTCAGCACTTTTTTCAGACAGCAACGTTAATTCTGCTCTCAAATACAGAAATGATGGTTGAAAACAGGTGGAATGGCTGAGAATAAAGTGCAGTAATAACCTTGGGGTCACTTTGATCCCAAAGCTGAGCACACGACTGCAGAGTGTCAACAATAACTCAGGCCAGCCTTGGGATCCTGACTGGTCCTGGACCACAAACTGAGCCACATCCACTTTACTCCTCTTTTTTTTTTGCTAGAAATATTTCCTAGAACACAAGTACAGTGGAATTTTGGCAATGAACACCTGTGTAGCCACAGTGGGTTCTTCACAAGAAATTTCTAAGTGCTTTGCAGTATTAGGATGAAAAAAAATTAATGAATCCAATTTAATTCCTAAAAAGAGAAGGATGAAGAGGAAGAATACAGCTTCTAGATTTTAAGAACAAATTGAGAATGACCAAAACAAACAAGCAAAAAAAATTAAAAATGCTATCTATAACCACAATTCATGTTAAACCCATTGTGAGTTAGCTAATTATAACAGATACACATACTATATCCAGAGAAGTAAAAATTAAAATTACTAAGATACTGAATCTGAAACCAATACAAAATACTTCACTTTTTTCTTTCCTAATTTTTATTTTCGTATTCTGAATAGACCTGTTAGAAAATGCAGGCCTGATCTTTCCCTGCTTAGCAAAGACTTGTCTTTGATGTGCTTGATAATGAAGAGTAACAGGAGTGGGATAACCAGGTGCTCAGTGGCTCATGAACACAAGAGATGAAATCATACCCAGTCCTGCACTCTCCTCACTCTGCCTGTACTTGGAGCTCAGAGAGTTGCAGTTCCTCGTTTCCCTGCTCATCCCCAGTTATGGCACATCCATTAGCTGGAGACTGCAAGGCTGTTTCATGGAGGTTTCGTGGCACTAATGGGCAAAGTAGATGTTAATAGCTAAAATTTTGTTTTTATGAATTATGTTCCTGGGCTTAATGGCTTATGTTTCCTTGGCAACACACACATCATGTGCTTTTTAATAAGGTTTGTGCATGAGCTTTGTACAGGACCATGCCAGAGATCCCTGCTGATAAGGTTTCTAAAACACTGTGAATTCAGAAGAGTGGATCTACCCTTTGACAAAGCAAGGACCACACTGGCAGAAGAATAAGAGCCTTCCCTAGTCTCTATAAAGGTGCTCCAACTGCAGGTTCCTGCTTTTATTATCTAACTCCTTATTCATGCAAAGACCATCTCCACTTTTTTACATCAGTAAATGTCATTAACTCCTCAGTTATCCACCTAAATATTCTACAATTAGAAAAAAAAAAAAAAGCAGAATGATATTCCAGGAATTAAATTTGTCCAGTAAGGCTGCACTGTGGTTTATCCTGAAGAAACCTTGGAGGAAAAACAAGTTACTTATTTTATTTCATATTTTTCTATGTAACAAACCTGCTACAGGAAATAGGCTGCTGGCTGTTACAGAACTTCAACATGCTTTGTGATCCACAAGTGGGTATCCCACATCCACAGAAAAGAACCCTAAACTACACAAACTGTACAGGTGAAAAAACAGAGTTGTGGTGAATATACACAGGCACAGCTAACTCCTGTGGCTGAAGTCAGCAGAGATCATCACAGTGCTGCTCTTAAGCACTTCTAACCTTTTATTTCACAACAAATATAAAAGCTCCATGTACAAGTCTGGAAAGGTTTAGTGATAGGAGATGAAGACTTTTTTTATATCACATCCATGGAAAAAAGTAACACATTCAACAGCACATAAATCTTGGCTGGATCCAACCTTCCTAACACTATGAAAACAGCAAAGGTAAAAGGAGTGGAACATTGAACCTCTAACACAAAGTACCAGGTAATTAACTCGTTTATATTCTTAGATTGTCATTCATATAGTAGCTAAACCAAGTAGTAAAGAGTACAAACATGTGATCCATAAGCACCTTAAAACATTTACTAACCAGTAATCCATGCAGTGCTCAGAGTTAAGGAAGGCTGACATCCATTGACACCAGGACCAAAAATAAGAGGAAAGTTACAATCAGCACTCATCTGTTTGGCTTATTTATTAAAGCAATCAGAAACTTAGAAAGAAACAATTCTAAACATGGAAAAAGAGTGTTCTATTATTGTATCTGAACCAAGAAACACAAACAAAAGGATTATTAAAAACATGAAAACAAGATCCAATAGATAGGAAGGAAAAAAGAAGGTGGAAGCAACACCAAAATTTACAATGGAACAATTAGTATGAGAGAGATCTTGCAAATCAGAACAGAGCTGATATTAATAGATAAGGTGTGCACTGAACCAGTACAGGTGGCACAGGGAAGCAAAGACAGCAAAACTGTTACATCAGGCTCGTGTAGGCAGAGAACCCTGTCTGGTTTCTCTCCCATTGGGCTCAATCAGTGCAATCAGGACCCCCCAAGTGACCTGCACCAAGCTGAGCATCACTGAGCGTTTAGAATGCTAAACCAGAGCTGCCTCTGTTTGCTGCTCCCCGAGATGGAACAGAATGAGACTGAAAACCAGCCTTGACACCACACAACAGAGCATCCCCAGCCTGTGCCAACCCTGCCAGAGCTCCAGAAGCACCTGGAGAACACACTGAGGCACAGGGTGGGATTCCTGAGGTGTCCTGGACTTTGAATCAATGATCCTTGTGGGTCCATTCCAGCTCAGGATATTCTATAATCACAAAAGCGTAGAGGAGACAACATCTAGAACGTTTGCAAAAAGGTACATCAGCCACAATTTCATGTGAATGTTGCTGACATCATTCAACCACTGGAAACAAATCTTTATTCCCAGCTGAACAAAGCACCCAAGGCATAGCAACTTTCTGCTTCAGAACAGAATTGCTCTCTGCCCCATCAATGACACAAAGGATGAGGCAGTCACGAACCAGCAGCTGCAATGCCATTCTCCAGGAACTGAAAAGAAAATTGATTTCTGTGACTCAACTGCTCAAATCAATACTCACCCTCCCCCTCCTCCTGTACATTCACAGACACTTTTCTTCCTTTAAAATAAACAATATCATCCCCAAAGTTAAGGAGCATTACTGTGCTTGATGTGGTATAAATACATTTTTCAGGGGAAAACATTTTCTGCCTATTACTTTATCCAATGAAAAATTTGTCATCAGTTCTTGTGAATCTGATCACTGACAACCAGCGTGTGACAATTTTGCATTCATGCTCTTCACCTGCTGGAACCAGTTCTGAAACTTTATGGCAACTTATGATTTGAATCATGTCCATCAGCACAACATCCCAACATCTTTGTGTCTACAATCCTACAGGAAACACACAAAAAACCATCATTTCCCTGGGACACAGCACTGTCCAAAGTTATGACATCACACAAAAGGCAATTAAGGCCATTTTAAGTAGATTCTTAATGAAAATTAAGAATTGACAACTGGCTAAATACTAATTTATTAATAGTTTCTTGAGAAAACAGTTTGAAGCAGCAAGAGCAAATACATCCATTAAAAAGGAGAGTAAGTAGCTTCATCTCAGTAAGAAGAAATTCAAGCCCCCTGTGCAGAGACTTGCAGGTGTGAGCTCCAGCCTGCTGAGGAATGTGAGCCATAAAGATCCTGACAGCCAAAACACTCCGAGGATGAAAGCACAGCCATCAGCAATGGAATGTGCTCCTCTATGGGCACTCAGGGAAAAGCACTTCTGCCTTTATTTGCATATATAAAATGATGGATGGACAGCCTGGGTTGGTTTTTTTTTAAATCCAAGAAAATCCTCTTTATTAAATTACTACCAATGGCAGCTTCAGATATTGTTGCTCCTGCAAGTGAAGTAACAACGCAGGGAAAACAATAACTGACTAAACTTTTGCCTCTGGGTTCCACGTGATTTTTTTAAACTGCACATCCAGCTCAATTAATCCTACTCAAAGATAGCTTCTGATGACTGCTAAGGTAAACAGGAGCTGTTTGTCCACAAAAATGATGGATTTGGGACCTAGACTGTAGTGTTCCTACCATTCACAAATTCCCCACATTCTCAATGCCCAGAGCAGAATATTTGCTGCCTAGAAGTACTGGGCTGTTTATTTTCAAAAAAGGACAAACCCACACACATATGGGACCAATTTAATTACAAAACATCTAAGTGTCATCAGTGAAAGACATCTTGAATTATTTTTCCTTAGCAGTAGAAGAACAATAAAAGCAAATCTAAAGTCTGTATTTCCTACCACTCTCATCATTTTAAAAGCATTAAGTGCCTAAAATCCACCCATTTTTTGGGGGTTTGACCCTGGTTCCAAGCTCTTGCCTTAAAGCAAAGGGCACTTGGTGTGGTCCTTGCACAGGCAAGTCCAACATCCAAATTACACCTGCCCTGTGGAGCCCAAAGAATTGAAGGAGAAGGAGCTGGTGAGCTCCACAGGGTTGGCTCTTGATGGCCATGCCAAACTTTCACGTGCACAATGGATGGTTTTTATCATGTGAAATGATCCCAAAGGACACGGAATTGCAGAGATTGCAGAGATTGCAGGGAGGCAGGGGCAAGGTGCTCTGATTTTATTGTTTATTGTCCTTTTTATTGTTTATTTAATTAATACATTTAAACAAATATAAATAAACACGTCTCAGTATGTAATCTTCATATAGGATTATACTATATATAAGAATTACATCTTTTTTATGAATTCCTCTAAAATTATCCTGAACTAGTGTATCTAATCTTATATATAAGCTTATAAATTTTATATATACTTCAGTAGTGGTTTTATCTAAACCTTTACAACTTTATCATTTACTTCATATCTAATTTTATATTTATGAAGTCACAATTTTTATCTAACACAAGAATGTTGTATTTATTTGTAGTGCTACTGTATCAAGTCCAAAGGTGTTCTGATATCATTACTCTGAACAACACTGTCATAAACAACAAGTAACACAGAACAAACTTGTTCTCTACAAATTTTATGGTTTAGGGTGGGGTTTTTTTATTTGCACATTTTTCCTACACAACTTAATAAAAATAAAAAGATAATGCAAAGATAGAGTAACCATATCATGCTGTTCTTTCAATAAATCAATGTATTTGCAGGAAAGAATGAGAAAATAACTCACTTAGGAGAGAAAGGTGGGCTGGGGAGTAATCTGTTAGCTGGGCTACAGTGCCTCCAGACACAAGTTTTATTCATAGTTCTCAAGCTTATTGCAAAACAAATTAATTCCACAATTCAAAAATATGCTTTGGGAGCACAGACCCTGAAGCACAGCGTAAATAATAGTGAGTGAACTTTCTAGTCCCAGCACTAAAATCCATCCTGTCCCAATGGGTGTCTGCCCCCATCCTGCTTGGCCATGAAGTGCAAGGGGACAATCCTGCAGCCTCTGCAGTCTCTCAGTGAAAGCCCCGGTCTGAGTCTCAAGTCATAAATTCACCCACCAGGAAGATGTCTGTAGAACCTGTACTTTAACTTCTATTACTGCTGTGTAAGTTATGATATTTTAGAATACAGCATAAGAGAGTACTGCTTCCAGGTAAGCAGAGAGTTACATCTTTTAGATGTAAAGCTACAGAGAACCTAAGTGATTTCTGTTAGCTGCTTAAAATCCCAGAGCAACTTGTTTTGTTATAGTAACAAATGTAATGATCACTAAATCTTTGGGGGTTTAATGAGCAAGATGTTATTTCTCTGAGTACAGTACAGAGTGAATACTGTGCAAACAAACTTCTCCAGCAGATGGAAGCATTAGTCAGCAAAAGCTGAGCTCTCCCAGGACTGTCTGTCCTGCAGCACCACAAACCACCTCCGCTGCCACTCACAGAACTTCACCTCGTACAAACCCCAAGTGCTTCACACTGGTGGAAAACAAATCTATAATTCTGTACCACTTGAGATCTGCAGTATTGCTATAGCACAGCATACAATTATTATTTAAATATTTACAGAAACCTGACATTGGTGAAAGTCAGAGACAGGAAAAGCTGGAATATGAATCATAAACATGTGGATTTCAGGTAAAATTTACCAAAACCCCATAAGCTCTACCAACCTTTTCCCATACCTCTCTGACAGTTAAACAAACACAGTCTGGTTTCTTGCTTGCTTTCTCATATTTTACCAGTAAATGTCATCTAAACATAAATGTTTAAAATGTACTTAAATACAATAACTTTAAATTGCCAGGTAGAGTATTGAAATAAACAAACCCAAGTTCAGGTTCATTCTGAAGCTCAACAGAAAAAGTAACACAAGTGGCCATTACCAGTAGGATCAAATATCCCTTCAATTACAGATTCAGCAGAATCCCAGACTAGTAACTGCAAGACTGTTCCAGCCCAATAAAGCCCAGGGAAGGCCATGATTACTGACACATATTTTACAGTGATGCAAATCCCTTGGCTCACCATGAACAGAACAGCCTGATTTGCAAACCCTACCACTGCATGTTGATTAACTAAACACTGTTTTCAAACTAGAATTGAAGGTTTTATACACAGATCTGAAGCACAAGCAAGTGACTATTCGTGTCTCACCTGATTGTTGGGAACACCTGAGCTCTGACTGGCTGCTGCTCTCCCCCTCTGTGAGCTGCCTTGTTCCTTGCCATCTAATCAAAATGACATTAAATGATTTCAGGTATGAAGCACAACTTTCTTTTACAGTTACTCTGGCACAAAGACTGAGATTGCTTTGTTCAGTATGCTGAACAAATAAACAGTCCATCAAACAGTACTTGTAAATCATAAGGAGAGGAATCCAAAATAAACAAACATCAAAAATCCCCAGCTTCTATTCCCCTGCTTTTCCCCATGCCTAAGTGGAAATTCTGTTCCCCACCCAATGAAGTTACGTTCCTTCTTTTGGATTTTCCTCCTAGTTCTGCCAGAGCTGAGCTGCTACCCCCATTCCAGCTTCCCCCCAACATTTCAGGAGCCCTGGATTTCAGTCAATAGTTCAGGTGCCCCTAAACTCCTCAGTTACCTGGCCTGACACCAGCACTCTCCACAGCTTCTTTGACTGCCTTCCTGTTTGCAGCTCCACAGAAACTGGAAGGATTTTCATTTTCAGCTTGAAGATGACTGCACACAGTGGGGCCAAAGAACTGCTCATTCCATGAACTTCAGTGGGAAGTTTGTAACTGGTTTCTCGTGAAGTCCAGAGCACCTGCAGGGGTACTGAGAGCAGAGACTTTATTTGAGATGTGGAGGCAGTGACACACATGCATGATTTGACTATTATGCCCCAGACGTGTAATTCTCTCAAATTGCAGAAGGCCTGGAAAAGCTGTTTTCATAAAAAGTTATTTATTTATCCACAGAGCAATTGCATGTATGTTTGTGGACTTATACAAATGCTGCAGAGGTACAGATCTGCACATCACAAACAGTGCTAACCACTGTTTACATCCCCACATCCTTACATGAGTCACACACACTCACTAAACTTGTTATTGTGTACTTTTCTCATCTCTAATAGTTGCCTCCTACTTTTTATTTAACCTCTGCTTTGCCTTTCACATAGGACATTTCTGGGAACTGCTGGACTCATTAAAACAAGACAGGTGCATGTCAGCAGTGATGAAATAGATATTGGGAAAGGCAGGAAAGAAGTGGAAAACAAATTAGAGGCACTCACAGAGCCTGGTGCAGATGCAGCAAGCTCAGGCTGTGACATTTACTCTGATGTCTGCTGGGATAAATACTGGGCTGGGCTACTTATCTCAGAAACCAAGGGGACCAAAGAGGAAAAATCAAAGAGCAATAGAAACTGCAAGCCCATCTTATGCAGAACCACAGGACAACACAGCTTTTCTCCATTTTATTGTGGCTTGATGTCCACAGTAACATTCAACAGTAGAAACAGGTGGGCAAGATCCCAGAGCCCAGTGGAAACAGCCCAGCCAGAGCACGGTACAGGACATAAAGCAATGGGGTCTTTGAGTCACAGGCAGCCCTCCCTGGAACATAAAAATAGAAATAAAAGTCTCTTCTTTATTCCAGTTTATGGGAACATTTCCTGGCACCCATCAGATGACAAACCCTTTTTCCCAGCTACCTCAGCCAACTCAGTAACCATGGCAACTGCCTCCAGTGCAATGACATCATATGGTTTCCTGGGTAACTGTTCCCAGTGCAATGATGTCATGTGGTCACCATGGCAATGCTCCATGAGGCCAGGAAGAAAGTATTTTAAGTGGGAAGATAGGTCAGAAAGGACAAAAGAGGGCCCAGGGAAGAGCAGGATAAAAGATAATTGAGGTAAAAATATGAACTTTGTAACAAGGATAGATGCAAGGACAAGGAATGCATGGACAGATAGAAGGACAGACAGAATATTAAAAAAGAGACATTTTATGTAATTTGAACTATGATTTGCTTTTGAAAGAGTCTTAATTCTATAATCTCTAATATGTTATTTAGGTCAGAGATTCTGAAGCAAAGCATGAATGGTCACAGGAAGTTTAGGCGTGGTTCAAGCACCGATTTACTGGAGGGACTTCTGATAATCCAGAAGAAACTGTCAGAAATCTCCAGAGAGACACTGAGGGAAATCACACTACACAGAATATATAGTTACATTTTCTAATCTATTTCCATTCTCTGACTGATTACCCAGGGCTCTGTCACAGCAATGCCAATAACCAGGTGTTGCTGCCACACCCTGTCCAGGGCTTGAGAAGAAGATTCCTTTGCCCTCTTCCTTCTGTTCTTTGTACCTCAAGCCACAATAATAAGAACCTGGCCAGCTGACAGATGAAAATGTGTTTTCCTTTCACTGAAAGCTCCTTCAGACCCTCACCAAGATGAAGAGGGTGTTCTTTCTTCCTAATTTTCTAGATCTTCTTCCAATCCCGTTATACTCCCAAATATTTGAATTTAATGAGTACAAATACCCTTTCTGCATTCAATCCTGTTTTAGTTCCGGCCAGTCTCAGCCAGCAGACAATGTTACTGCCAGCTTTATGTTAAATGGCAATAAAACCCCTGGGAAAAAGCTTCTTGGCAATAAAAGGCCAGCATTATTGATACACAGTGTTTTATCCGTGTACACAACCTTGAGTGCGAGATAAAGTAACAAAAAGCTCTGCCTTCTGAGGACAGGCTGCAGGCTAAAAGCTTTTAGGGCAATGTTCCTGAGGAAGCTTTCAGGTCTATCACACAGCATTTTTCTATCCAGCACCCAACAAGACATCCTCACATAGTTTCTCTAAAGCCAAACCTTACTATAGTTTATTCAGCACAGTAATTGCCCTCCACCACTCTTTTCAGATGGAGTTAATGCAGGATCAGATGTAGGGACTGTGATTGTAACACTGCAGCTCAGCAATGCAGGGTTGCAGCTGTGACATCTTCTACTAAAAGAGACTCGTTTTTTACAGCTGAAGTGAAGATGAACCTCAACTGCTCTGTTCAGACCCAAGCTTCAAATAATGTGAAGGTTAGAAACCTAACTTGAGCATGGCTGTAGATGAGATGTTTGTCTCAGACTAACCCAGACTCTCACAAGTCCCTGGCAGCAGTGCTCAGCAGCCCAGCTGTCTGTACAGTTCAGCACAAAGGAAAAAAGCACATTCCTATGCAAAGGACTTTGTACAGTTTGTCAAAAGGAAACATTTTTGTACCTCAAGACCTCATGCAGATTGTTGCTGTTACTCAGATAGCAACAATGCATTCAATATGCCAAGCACTTTCCAAATCTCTACAAAGGCAGGCATTAGGGGCTCAGAAAGTCCAATTCCTTCAGAGCAGCCCACTCAGTAAATCTCCAAGGGGTTTCATTGCAAAACCCTGCAGTCATCAGGTTGGAAATGTTCCAGGTGCTTAATCACACACAGCAGAGTGAGAACTGAGAGAGGGAAGAAAAATTCTCAGAGATAAGCAGCACCAGGAAGGATGTGGTGGCCGAGGGAGAGAAACAGGAAAAGGGGAGGAGGAGGAGAGGAAAGGGAGAATAAATATCTCACGCTGTTGATGAGCAGAAACACAAACATCAGAGACAGACACAAAGAAGGCCAGCAGCAGTTCCCTCAAGTTATTCTTCTGTCCTCATACACTTCCTCCCTAAATCAAAAGATATTCATGGAGTAGCCAGCTGCACATCTCACACAAAAATCAGGCTAAGCTGGGCATTCCCATACAATCAATAGGTCTCACAAACCAGTTACTTCTTCATGAAGTTATCAGAATTATTTCTCCAGGGGAGTGGAAGGAAAGCTCAGCAGGGTCAGCACAAAATGAAGGAAGAGAACTGCTAGAGAAGAAAACAAGTGGGAAATAGGTGGTGAGGACTGTTTTGGTTGTGGGTTGGGATTTTTCAGGCTGTGCTGTGAGACTGAAACATCTTCATTAAACTATTCTTCAAGCTGCAGTCATTTCTAAAACTAGGAATTTTCAAGAAACTGTGGCAAAATACAATATAATGTCCTTTTGTTTGACTTCTGATAAATCCCTTTGATGAACAATGATACATGCCAGCATTAAGTAAAACAAAATGCTGAAAATGTACTTAAAATGGAGAAAGAGGAAAATACAGAGTAATGACTAATGGCCAAGAAAAAAAAATCTGTTATAAACTGTGTTGCCTTAAGTAATAAAGATTAATATGCACAAATATCTAATTCATTCCCACAGTAAGTGCCACGCTTTACAAGTGCACATACAAGTTCTAAGTTAATTAAAAATTAGACAAATTCTGTTCTGATTGATACAAGACAACAAAGACCACACATAACAGAAGAAATGGTAACATGCAGCTCACCAATATGGACAAAGTATTATAGTGAGGAACAATAGTAAAACTTTGCAGTGGCTGCCCCAGAAGTTGTTAAAAGCTTCAGCTCTCAGGCTAGTTAGCCCTAAAAAAGTAGTTGATTTTAAAAAAACAAAAGTTGAAATAACAGAGAAAAATAAGACTTGTTTCTATTGAGTAAGAAATAAATTATAAGGTCAGAAAATATATTTATCATAAGGAATCAGAATATAGGTTGAATAAAATTTGATATATATATAGAATTTTATATATATCTCCTGGGTATTCCTGACTTTGTGTCAGCCCATCACCTGCTGATTAGCACCAAGACATTGTTGTGATTGTGCTAGAATAATTGCATGAATAATTCATTATACCTTACCCAGAGATCTGGCACTTCAGGGGCTCCTAATCAGCTCCTAATCCAAGGATTCAGCATAATCTTTGTGGCAGAATTAACACCATACATACACACATAATGTGTTTAGTAAAAATTTAAAGGAATTGTTTTAAACACAATTAACATTGGGCTAATAAGCTCAGCTAAATCTGGGCTTCACTAACCTAAAAATAAGTTAATTCTGTCCCCTTTAACCTAGGCTCGTGGCCAGTGCCAAAGTGAGGAAGTGTCAGATGTGGAAAGGCAGAGAATGACTCAGCAGTGGTACCAAAGCCTGTTCATGTCTGAGCAATGTTGGGCTCTGATGACACCGGTGACAGGAAAAGTCTGAGCTTCCCCATCCTTCCACACCCATCGTACAGCCCAGAGAGGCCTAACAGAACTTGGTTTAGAAGAGGCAAATAGCAGCCCTTGGAAAGCTTGGGGTGGCAGCAGAGAACAGAGATGTTCCTGCCCTTTAAGGACCCACTGGAATCTCTCTCCCCCCTCGGATGGCCAGCCAGCAAACACTTGGAGAGACCTGGGCCATTCCCTGCCCTGGATCTGGGATGCAGTGATAGGAACAGAGGTGATTGCTCCAGGTGGCTCTGGCTGCCATGGAGACAGGAAGCCACTACAGATGGTGGCCAGGCTGCCCCAGCACAGTGCCCACACCTCATGTCCCTCTGGCTGGTGCTCTCAGGCCCCTCACCCCGGGCAGGTGTGTCACTGCAGTAACTGGGTGGACTTCAAAAACAAACCAGCCGGGATCTGGCATTTTTCTGAGAGTCAAAACAAGGAAAACATGGACAAGCACAAGTTCCTCTTTGCAGAGGGAGAACACAATGCCTTTTACTCAGCAGGGAAACCAGTTAATCACTGCCATCCATCTACTTCTCTGCCCCCTGCAAGAGTCAGATGCTCTTTTGTGCTGTGAGGGCACCACAACAGTCACAAAGCCAGGAAAATGCTGCTCCTGCCACCCCCCTACAATTCCTGCTTCCCTCCAATGTGTGCCTTACGTGCTCAGGAAAGGAATCAACGCTTTTCTGCCATCCCTGCTCTGTAGCCTCTGCTGGAGAAATTCCTGAATAAAGGACATTCCTCAGATGTTCAAACAAGGATGCAGTTCTCTAAATGCCACAAATTTTATATGCAATTACTGCAAATATAATTGGCTGATATTTCTAATAACATATATGTTTATTATCAGTTGTAAATAATTATTTTATTTTATATTTATGAATGACAAAAAATTACTGAAAGTCATATGGACAATGTATTTTGATCTGTTTCTTCTCTTAGACATGTTGTTAAACCACTTAATTCTTCAGAGATGGAAGAGTTCAACTGCTATTAGATTGAATCCTAAAGTGGAATCGATCACATTATCCAATTATGTGAAAATAGCTCATACTAATTTAAGTACATTACTGCACATAACTGATTTCTTAATGATTACCTCCATAAAAAATATATATTCACTGCTGAAGTACTCACAGTGCTTTGCCTTGATGCACTCTGGGGTTTACAAAAACCCAAGTGAATGAAAATAATTCATCTGGCTATAATGTTTGAGTTGGGACAGACCAAGCTGGTTCATAATCACTAGTTAAAATCATTTAGACTAAAATATACAACAAGTAACACTGAAGATTCAGAAAAAAGAAATGTGTATACTTGAAGACTGTGTATATATATATATATATATATAAAAGTATATTACTGCATTTATAGTCATTCAGTAGTAGATAACAATTGGCATATAGGAAAGTCATAATAAACACTCTTATTTCTAACAGATGGTTCGATTTCTAACGCCAATTAAAATTTTACCTGGCCTTAACTCAGTGTTCAGAACACATCTCCATTTATTTCAGAAATCATTAAGGCTCAGACACTAAACCATCTGCATCTATGGAACTTCAAGTACTTTAGGCTTGTTCAGAACAAGATCTAAACATCCTCTGTCAATTATGTGTATAATCAACTTCACATTCTTCAAAATCTGCTACTGATTTCAAGGAGGTGCTTCAATGGACCTAAGATCTATCCAAATAGGTTTCTCGTGTTGTTGAAGGGTTTTAGCCAATTTTTCCTCATCAATTATGTTAAATTAATTTAAATATGTGGTGTGGATAGAATTTTAAGAAACCAAGGATCCAAAGCACTGGAATATTTTTTTCCAGTTTTCTCTCTGTCCTTACACTCAAATTGGTTTATTGAAAGATTTCCAGTTGGTCCCATGCTGACAGAAAATGTTTTATAATATATAATGACATCAGTTTTCACCCTTCTAACTTCCATTATCGCTAAGTTATTCTCTTACATTACTTAAAATACAGTCAGGCTTTTCATTTTCCTCAACCTGAGGTGTACTCACGTAATTTTTTCTAGATTATTGTAAAGCAGTTTATTGCAGCTGCTGGAAGAGGCCCTGAAGTAGATTAGGGAATACCCTCATGCTCCTTTGGAAATAGACTGGGCTCTGGAAGTCAGCCCATCCAACTCATAGATGTAGATCACAGGTGTGAGTATTAAGGATGGAAAACCAGAGACCAGAGCCTGAAGTTACAGGCAAGGGAAAGGCAATGTTGAAAACCTATTTTCTAACCTATAGTGAGACCCAAGTAGTGATAGAGTGAATGGTTAGTACCCAGAGGAACTGTGGTCCTTTGATATGTGTTATCCATGAGCCTCCAGTCTTTTCTTAAGGTTTCTGCTTCCCTAGGACCTTCACATTCTCAGTGCTACTGCTCATGTTGAAGAACAGCCTCTCAGGACAAAGTTTAGTGTCCCACAGCTTCGGCACATTTTGTTCCAGTGGCTTCAGTAGGGTGTGGGTGTGTTTGAGAGATGAACACAATTGTTCCTATGAAATCATATTTAAGCAGACTAGGACACAGACTGAAAGTATCTTTGTCACTATGAAGACCACACAATTAATTTAAGGGTTGACTATGCCATAACTTTCAAGTTCCATTAACATCACAGAAAATACTGCTTTACTGTTAGCAGCTGTCAGGTTGCTAAAAACTGAAGGATATGCACAGGCCTTGCTAATATATCAACACCCCCAGTGTGACTGAATCTGTCAACCAACAAAGATTGCCTGTGAAAGACAGAAAAAGTTTCTGGGCAAGAGTAGTGCTCAGATAGACCTTAATGAAACCCTCACCATGTCAAGAACCTTTTATGCTTTCAAGGACACATAAAAAAGCCCTCTGGGAGCAGGGGGGAAAGTCACTCAATTTTGAGTCTTTCCATTGGAATTACCCCAGCTTCAAAAAATGTTGTGAACTTCAACTAAGCACCTTTGGTGAATACATCTGGTGTTTTCAAACAATGAATTGGGCAAAGCCTAGGATTTTACGTATTTTAGAGTGTGATAGGCAGAAGACATGACTTGAGAGTCACCTATGAGAATTACCAGATACAAAATACCTGAATCCTGTGTTCTACTGAAAAACATTGGAATAAAAAGTTCATCAGCTTTGGTTTCTTCCAGATCACAGTAAGGGTTACAAAAAAAGCATTTAGCAATCCCAGGGCCCAGGAAATGAAAAAGCTGCTGAAGTGGAAACAAGAATATGGATTGCACTGGAGCATTTTTTTGTTGCTCCATAGAAAACCCTCTACTAACTCCTACCAAAACACAAACATGAAAACATGCTCTGCATGTCATTGGCTCATTTACTGACACCTAGAAAACACAGGAGAAGTATCTGCTTTTCTACTGGGAATCTAATTCACTGCTACACAGCATCATTCTGCAGATTCCCTTTGGTGTCCACTTTGGATCCTACACACCAGGGCAGCAGCCAACCTTCAGCTGCCAGTCCAGGGATGCCAGACCTGCTGGCTCACTTGCAAACTACATAATGCTCATGGTTTTGTGATAGAGTCTGCACAAGACCTTGAAACTAAAATGAGAAAGGACCCCCTGGCTTTTGAATTAAGAAAAATATTAATAAAAAAGGTACTTCTATCAACAGGGAAATAAACCTACCAATTGTCAATATTATTATTGACCATCCAGTGTTTCAATGTAAGAAGGCAATCTTATGGCCAAGTTTTACCTTGGTTCCAACAGGGGCAGCAGGAAGGTGTGTTACCTGTATTCTCACCTTTTTCAGATGTTGTGTTACTCTTTCAATTGTTGCCAATTTTATTGATATAATAACACTACAATTATCTCTAAGATGATAGAATACATAAATGCACACAAATCTACCATTAAAAATTCTAAAGCTCTGATACTTAAAAAAAAAAACAGTGCACTGCTTTTTAAAAGTATGAGCAGTTGTTGTGGCTAATTCTGACCAGTAATAATTATTTCTATCATTAAAGACTATCTGTTCTGGTATATGAGAACTTACATGACCTTTGTGCTAGCTCAGGTGCCAGTGGCAGTCTGGATACAGCTAACTTTTCCTGCTTCTGGGGCACACCATGACAGAAGTGTGCACAGCACCAAAAAATGTACATGTACACTAGCTGTTGGGAGAAAACAAAAACAACAGTGTTAAGATTGTGGACTAAACTTAAGTGAGCTAAATAGAGAAAGGCAGTCTTTAGCAACAAGTATAGCTTCTGTTTGAAGCAGGGAAATATGAAATAGCTACTGGGATATTCACATGTAAAGCTGATTTGGTGATCAGTACTTGAGAGAAAAGAGCTTAGAAGTTACAGTGGACAGAATCAAACACAAGTTTCTGTATTGATAAAAACTGAAAATTATGTGCTTTACAACTGTTAAGCAAGTGTTGTACTGAGGAAACAGCTAAATATACCACCTTGGGAAACTCCGGTTTACTGCAGGTGCTTTTGGGTTTTGTGGCTTTGGGCTTTTCTTCTTTCAGCACACTATGTTGTGTTTTTGTGTTGTTTAGCATGTGTCAGCTTCTCATTTAACTTTTGATTAAATATGTTTTAACCCATCAGTGATGTGTTAGATAACTCTGTCTCTGCTCCGAACAAAAGAAAGGACAGCTCACGTAGAGATAACATCCCTGAAGCAGCATTTTATTTTATTCACTTAATTCCAAAACATTTAATTTAGAAGTCTGGCTTCCCAGTCATCCATCTTAACATGGGCAAATATTGACATAGAGTTGTCAGAATACACAGACAACTAAACAGCCAAAGAGTTTACAAAAAATAAATTCATGATTCTTCAAAACAACTGCAAAAGGTTACAAGTATCAAAACTCTTAGGTAGATGCACTGCATTTAAAGAAACTGTGCACATAAGTTAGAGGCAAAAAAACCAAATTGCTACTGAAACCTCACATTTCAAACAGTTTATTGTAAACTGATGAACAGAGTTGTCATTTCACATCAGCTTAACTGTTTTCATTGACTGAAAAAAATTTGGGGTGGCTAATTTACTTTGCATGCACAAAATGTACTGCTTAACAGAACTGTCAGCTCATTGCAAACAGAAAGAATTTAACTGGAATCTAGTTATCCTCAATCACTTTCCATTATTCTTTCCCATATTTTTCAATCAATAGGCAAATGTTTTGCCTCCTTCTGCACTGCTCAAGTGCAACTAAGATAAATAGGGCCAATAAACCAATCAATCCATCAATGCCCATGAAGACTCATCTGAAACTGCTTCTTGATAAAGTGGACAGCAGATCTGAACAGCTGTACAATACAGATATGCTTAGCACTAGATATTTAGTGTGACTGTGGCAAGGAAATATTGGTGATGATGGGGATGGCCAAGTGGATGAAAGAGGGATCAGAGGAAAGCTTATTAATTATTGCCCTCTCCTGCTTCTTCATCCTGCTGATCACTCGTCCACAGAGTGAGGTTATCTCGAAGTAACTGCATGATGAGAGTGGAGTCCTTGTAGGAATCCTCATTTAGTGTGTCCAGCTCTGCTATGGCATCATCAAAGGCTTGTTTGGCTAAAAGGCAGGCCTGCTCAGGGGCATTCTGGATTTCATAGTAGAACACTGAGAAATTGAGTGCCAGCCCAAGCCTAATGGGGTGAGTGGGCTGCATGTGCTCTTTGCTGATTTCAAAAGCCTCTTTATAGGCAGCTTCTGAGGCTTCCACCACACTGTTCTTCTTCTCTCCAGCAGCAACTTCTGCCAGATAGCGGTAGTAATCCCCCTTCATTTTCAGGTAAAAGACCTTGCTCTCATACTGGAAGTCATTGCAGTTTTTGATCAAGTATTTATCTAGGAGAGCCAAAACATCATTGCAGACTGTCTCGAGCTCCTTTTCTATCTTCTCCCTATAGGCTTTAACCTTCTCCAGCTTCTTCTCGTTCCCATCTGCCATGGTCTTCTGCTCTATGCTGCTGATGACGCGCCAGGAGGACCGTCTAGCTCCGACTACATTCTTGTAGGCTACAGACAGCAGGTTTCTATCCTCGTTTGAGAGAGGCTCATTCAGCTCAGTTACCTGAAAACAAAGACAAAGAGCAAATTGAAAGGCTTTGCCTTAGAGAAAAGCGTGCAAACTTCCTTCAATATTTTCATCATGAAGTGCAGGATTTAAAATTTCTTCTAAATCCCAAAGTTCCTTCTAGACAGGAGTAACTTTGTAACATCAAAAGTTTAAAATTTTTCTGCAGTCAAGACTTAAAAGAAAAATCCCCACAGTTCTGATGGAATAGAAGGGGTATTTAGAAGCTATTGCAAACATTCACTGAATGAAAGTGAGCCAGGCTTGTGCAATGGAGAAGCAATCACAGAGGAAGGCTCAGGATTTTAGGAAATCTGCTATAAAACTACACACTTAGTGATGAATTTAAATGTACCTAGAACACCAGTTTTTTGAATCTGGAACACAGGACTGACACTGGAAGAAGCTGGTGCAATTCTCTCATGCCTGTCCCCTGCTGCATCCATGGGACAGCAGAGACGGAAGCGCTGCAGTCATTAAGCTCTGCACAGCACAAATGGAATTAGTGTTTCATAGACAGGGTAATACAAAAGTTACCCTGATTTCTGCTAACTGGCTGCACACAAATTCCAGGGATAGGACATGAAAGAAACTGCATAGAAATAGGACAGCAAATCAGGAATGAAGCCACAGCCAACTTCCAACTGCTACTTCAAAAAGCTGAGATAGAAGGATAATACTTCTAATACAGTATATTTAGGCCTATTTCACTTGATGTTTTAATTTAGGCTATCAGACTCATGGTCACTTGAAACTGTTCTGCTTTTTAAAATTTATACACATGAAACTAAACTCAAAGGAATTAGGATGAAAAAGGCAACTCTTTTACCTTTAGCATATTGCTTTAAAAGTAGTCACTAGAATTCTAAGGATATTTGGTACTTTGGTGTGAAAATAAATTTGTCCTTACTCACTGTTAAAATCATTATTTCTTTTTAAAAATGTGCACATTTACACTGCTTGACAGGCACCAGTATTCATAACCAAATACATACTACAAACAATCAAGTCACAAATATTGACACTATTCTGAGACTGCTGGTGTAGGCAGTGAACCTTCTAACAAATGTGCTTATTTCCAGATCCAAAAAAATATGTGATTTATAGCTCTTAAAGTAAGAGAGAGCTGACTTTCAAATTTAGGTTTTGTTCTTAAAATATATTAATTAGTTTTATCTCCAAAATTACTTTTCCACAGTTCAGGAACCTGAACTCCCGAAAGACACTGCTCTGCTAGTCCTAATAGAACTAGAGGCAACCTAGAGAAGATGAAATATACAGGAATCAACTCTAATGACATCTTCAGATTCTTCATCACAGCTCCCAAACAATATTTTCCTTAACAATCTCCACCACAACCCACCTAAATCTTCTCCAGTAAAGATATAACAGTTCTTTTGCTGTTTAGTGACCGAAGTAGGAGCATTTAAAAGGAATCCTGACTGTAACCCTGGAATTCCTAACTCCACATGTTAATGAGTGTGGCAGTACTCCATCAGCTCAGAAATTCCATGTGTGATCCCACGCAGGCCATACACCAAGCTGAGCTCCTTTCACATGGAAAACACTCCAGAGTGAATGTTCCACAACAGAGAGCAGATCCATGACCTGACCCAGCCCAGGGGCCTGTCATTACACTGGTTTTGTCAGCCAGAGCACATCACTCAGCTAGAGCCACTTCTGAGCCAGATGCTGCAAAAATGACTGTACCTGAGCCAGTATAAAGCCAGGTTAAATTATTAAAACTTGCCTGATACAAAGTTATGCACTCCATAATTTTGGAACAAATAGAAACCAGTCTAATTCATTTAAACCAGACCAATTTCTTGTATCATGTGATTTCAGAGATCTCTACCAAGAACTGGAAGTTCTATAGCTAGGTTTACCCCAGGGAATGCCATGAGGAAGTCATCTCCCAGCAGGGGAGCGCACTGCTTACATTAAAAGCTTGCATTAAATAATAACTTACGTTATAAATAACATAAAAAATATCTTACATTTAAGATATTCCCCTCTCCTACACATAGCTCATTAACCCCAAACCCGACACTAAGGGATAGGTACTGAAAATATAGAACACCCCAAACTTTTAGAGTCCATTTATATACACAGATAAAGCCTAATAAACTAGAATCTCAAGCTATTTTGTTTCCAAATTTTTAGTTCAAGACTGAAATTCATTTCACTGTGTAGTATTTCTCACATGACTACCTTTAAAATTCTGTATATCACACTACGCATGTCACCAATTTTAAAAAGTAAATGCTTTTTTACCACTATGTAGCTATATTAGAAAAGCAACAGAAATCAACAGAGGCCCTAAGCATTACCTATTAGGATTAATACTGTCCAAAAAAAATGAAGGGCTTACACAGCTACAATTTTTCATGATTTCTGGAATGATCTGAACCAAAGGGTACTCAGTGCTGGAATCTCAGGATGCTGAAGCATTTGTTGCATCAACTGAGAACCTTTCATGCTTATACCCAAAACATCTTTTCCCCACTGTGTTGAGAAATAATTCTGTACCTACCGTGTCAGCTTTATGTGAAATAGCTGGAATCCTGGAGCAGCATTTAATGCAATGGGAATGCCATGCCCCATGGAAGAATGCCATTTACATACAATTGTATTTTCTATTAAAATAACTTTAATAGTTACAAATTAATGGGTTTAGTAAACGAAACCCATCAATTTGTAACAGCAACTATTTAATTTTCCTCTCCTGTTTACACATTACAAGCAAAAATACTGGAATTCTTCCACGAAAAATAAGTTTACAACAAAAATTTGTACTGAGCAGTAAATTCTTTATTTAAGCTACAACTAGTACTTGGTCTGGCTTTTTTCTTTATAGAAGGAATTGATGGGAATAACAAACAAATGTTTCTGCAGCTTTAGGCTGACAGATGAAACAGCAGCCTTGTCACGCTTCTTTTCTCCAGTGGCAGAGTCAAAAATCAGGCAAATACACTTTCACTAAAACAAGTATTTGTTACTTTATGTTTCTGAAGTAACTACCATGCTGTTGGCTATATTCTGTACTGTAAAGTGTAGTAATATTTAAAACTGAAATGAACTGTTCAGATTTCAGTTTATACAGCACACTACTTTCATGTAGCACTTTTAAAATATTTTAAAATATTTTAGAAGTATCAATGTGTTACATTCAGAGATTAAAAAAATAATTTAAAATAAACGTTTCAAATCAAGATATCCTGGAGAACTCAGATCTCTGAGTTAGAATGATCTCCTTCCTTTTGGAGGAAATCTAAATTCTCTGGATTGCAAGATTACTTCTATATTAACCTATATAGATAAAAAGCTCTCTTAATTATCTCTGATATTTGCAATCACTGAAACAGAAGTATGGGCTGTGAGAACAGACAGCCCTCAGAGCATTCCACAGAAGATTATGCTCTACAAAATCAACCTCAATACTAAAGAGCATTCTAGAAATTACCTTGTTGAACACCTGAGAAAGCCAAGTAACCAGCTACATAACAGATGTGCAAGTGCGTGAGCAGTTCAAAATAAAGGAACTGTTGCTTTTAAATTCAGATTGCTTTTTGTATTTTTGAAGTTTCAATACTTCACTCACAGTACGTTCTCAAGCTCCCAATTACAGAAGCTCATGATCACACAACTTATTTGTGAGGAGTAGCAGCATCCCAGATGAGAATGCCACTGCTCCAGAAGAATGAAAATGTGCAGAGTAATTAGAACAGCTTGAAGACAACTGGACATACACACTAGTTGTAAGTAATTTATTTACACACTTCCTAAAGCAACTGTGTTTCCCAGAGACCATATGTACACTGTAGGTCTGCAGTTCTTGGAGAAATATAAAGCTTTCTACCACCAACAGCTAGAAATTGTCTTCTCAAGCAGTATATTTTAGTGGGTTCTCTATTTCATCTTTGAAAATTAGCAACTGAAAGAAGAGCTGTTACTATTATTTTATATGTATCAAGAACTCTAGAGATAGAAATGCAAATACACCTTTTTTAACATCTTGTGGCTCTGGTATCGAGATCCTCTGAAGTTTCACTGTTTTAGAGCTGGACTGATTGTAATATCTATTATAACATAATAGCAAAAGCAAACAAGAGAAGCAAAATTTGTGTCTTTTCACTGCCCTCATTTCAGGGAGGTGACATTCTCACAACAAAAATGTGGACTCCATTTGAAGCTGCTCTTTTTCAAACTATAATCATCTCATGCCTACAAACAGCAGCACTCTCAAGAGAAACAGTTCCTCCTGGGGCCTTTGGTATTCACAGAGGACAGGTCAGCAAGAACAAACCAATTGTAATTTGATATGGAAAAGCCAGTGCTAAGCATCTAATGGCATTAACATTACCCGTAACATTTGGATCGTGTGAATATTTTGTTTTCAAAAAAGGGACTAGACATAAAAGGTTTGATCATTCTACAATTTTATTACATATCAGTACAGGCAGATCAGTACAAATAATTTTCATTGCTTGGTTCTGAAAGGAGAAAAATTGCAAACGTAACATTGTTTAAACCCATTTCAGTATTCAACAGGGTACGGAATGCACTGAGAAACAGTTACCCTACAAAGAAGAGGCAAAAAGGCAACGTTAAAGCTCGGGAAATGCTCCTGGAACGGAGGATACTTTCACACCTGGATGCAGCTACTATCTTTAAGTCACCAATGTTAGTGAGAGAGGCCTCTATTCGTGTCTTCTCCGGCGAGGCAAAAGAAACGTCTCGAAGAGGAAGGGGCTCCTCTTGCTGTGTCCCCAGACAGCCCCCGCCGCAGTGCCCATCCCACAGAACCAGCGCCCCCAAACGCCGGCGGACGCCCAGGAGGGGAGAGGCACCCCAAGGTGAAACCCAGCAGCCCAGCGGGGTGGAGGGGAGGTGGGCGAGGCTGGGCCCCATCCGTGGCAGAGAAGGAATGCACAGCGCTCCCGCCGCGAGCAGAGGCGGGCGGCATTCAAATGGCCGCACTGCGAGCGCGATTGGCGCGGTGGGGAGACGGAGAGGAGGGCATGGGGACAGCCACACCCCCGGGGCAGGGACAGCCGGGGAGCGGGAGGGCTGCGAGAGCCCTTACGGGGGATCGGAGGGAATGCGGGGGGAAGGAAACAGATTTTGAAAGCGGGTGCTAGGTCCGGTTTGGACCGGCTACTCTTTGTCTCGTCTCTGCCGAAAGCAGGTAGTAGTGGGCACCGCCCCACACGGCGGCGAGGTGTCCCGGCGGGACGGTCTGGCTCCTACTCCCGCCCTCCTTTCTTCAC